CGCAGTCAAAGCTTTATGAAGCTATTTGCACTTCTGGGTTGCTCTATCTGTGCTGTCTTCAAGAAGACTACGGCAGCATTCCACCTGGAGTTTCAACTTTTCTAGGCCCTGTGTTCACAGGCCTCTACATCCTGAAGGCCTTCACTAAGACCCAACTTCTCATCGTATACTAACAGTCTCAAAGGGCCAAGTCTCATCATCTCTGCCATGTAGAAATGATCCCCCTGTTCTCAGAACCTCTGCATGCCTTCAATAACCACAGACACCCATAGTATGAAACCATTCGGTCTGTAAAGTAACACATCAAGTCTAAGATCACAGTTAAGAGGCAGGGGCATGACTGCACTGCGCATCACCCGAACAGTAAGTATACCCTGGGACGTGCCTTTTAAGTTCACTACGCCTCAAGAGATGCAGCCATCTAACTGGGGGGTTTGAAAGGACGATGAAAAATCAAGATTTTCTCGTAACAAGAACCAGCTTCAACCTTTGGCTTTGGCTGTTGGAAGGGCCAGCTCTGAGTCAAGAGGTCGAGAGTGTGCTCGCCTGACTCACTGACACTGAATCCATTCACGAAGCCAGAGAAAATAAAAGCTTAAGTCTCGCTCTGAAGGGTTACTACCAACAAAAATAAACACACAATTTCGACAAATTATTTCTTAAAGGTCTTGTATTTGTTATTTTTAAGGTCGCCAGAGATTCGTTTGCTGCATGCTGTGCATATAAACCATGTGTCTTGTGGAAAGGGGAAAAAGAGGGAGGGAGGCAAGAGTGCAGGCTGTGATCATTGCTCAAAGCAGAGACAGCGACTCTGATCAGCCCTGGGACCTGTCTGTGGAGCACACTGCTCTGCTGACAACTCACTGCCTCACCACAACCCAACAAGAGAGGCTCTCGGAACCGAGGGCTTCCCCTGTGGTTGTGGTCCCAGCCGATCATCACAACGCTAGAAGGATCTCACTTCCAGAAACAGGATTGGTTATCAACTCTCTACCTAGACACTGTCACCAGAAAAACGTACCTAAACAGACACCGCTAGCCACTTCTCTAGGTTTATAGGCATCCTCAGTTTTTCCCCTTCATTGGTTTTCAATCTTTAGAGGACGGAACTATGCTAGCAGAGATGATATACTCCACAGATGCCCTGCTGCCCACCACAGTCCCACAGGTGCCAGCCAAGTCCCAACTGGGTTTGGGGGTTCACAGAAAAAACAGAACTTGTCCCTGTTATCCTTCAAAAGGACAGCAGACTACTTGAAAGACTGACTTTATTATGACTAACTTAAATGTGTCCTCTGTTCTTAATTCTGGTGCCACTATAAGGGAACATACAATAGCATATATGGGAGAATGCCAAGGAAATATTCTTTCCGTTTGGTGTTACTAACTTAGAGACAATGTCTTTCTTACATGTCAAGAATTAAATCTAAACAAGGTGTGTTTATGTATTTGTTGAAATCTATACCAACAAGAACATACTAAGAAATGCTTGAGTCTCAAAATACCGAAGCAGGCCAGATTGAAAGAAAGTACCAGTGTACACTGCACCACGTGACCTATCAGGACTTTTCAGAAAATGCTCCCTCGACCCTGAGCTGCAGAAAACAAAGCAAGCCCCGCCCCCAGGAGATTCAATGGTGATAGCAGTTATGTAAACGTTTTCATGACTCCTGGAAAAGCCCTGTTACAGGTTCTCATAAAGCAAGGGGAACATGGACTGTGATCCTGTCTGATCAGTCAGCCCCTCTTAACACTAACACCCCAAATGTGGTCTGCCAACCACACATCCCAGGTGTGGGTCCTCTGACCTCCAAGCTTTGGCTACATTTGTGAACCACTAACGTGTATTTTGTTCTGTTTCTACGGAGGCTATGTAAGGGCGCAAACATGGATCTGAACAATCTTCCAGAACCGAATTAAGCCTCTCAAGGCACAGCCTCTCTTTAAGTCCTGTTATGGTAATGCTGGAAGCTGTGAAGGCCCTGATCCTAGGACAGCCAGATTACCACAGCACACAAGACATAGTGCAACCCACAGTTTGAGCAGAAGAAAGTTTCTTCACACGAAAAAGAGTCACGGCTTTGCATTTCCCTTCATATAAAGGGAAATTTATAATATTAACCTACCATAGCACAGTGGGAAAGAATTAAGTCCTAGGAGAGTTTAGCCATTTACCTAGTAAATTCAAGTACCAGGTACCATTAGGTAACGTTACACCCTTCTCTAGACACCTTACAGATGCTTGCTGTGTATCAGAGAGGCCACAACCAGATCTCTAGCACTCCTTACATTTCTAGACACAGCGCTACCTCCTTACACACTGAGAGGTTGCTGGGGGCTAAAAGGGTAGTGAACAGTTAAAGACAAGAGGCTGTGACTTCCACGGAGAGATCTGAAAAGAAACTGAGGGGGCTGGGATCTATGATGATGGGGACGGAAGAGCTACACTTTCCGGTGGGGAATCAGTGATGATTTGTACTGTACATCCAAGGAGGCTTAGTGTTGGTTCCTCCAGGCTACCCACACCCTTGTCCAGGCACATGCTTTCATGGGTCTACACACACCGCTGCACACGCTTTCACCTCTGAGTGCCTTCTGCAGAAATACGGTAATAAGCGACTTGTCGAGATGGGCCAGAACACACGAATGATGCTCACACACCAACTACCCGCCTCAAGGGAGGCCACAATCATGTACAGAGAGAAAGTGGTGTTCCATTACTGCTCAGACACATTTACACATGTCCAAAGCAGATCACGGCCCTGGAGGGACAGGGATTTATAAAAATCACTCAGTTATCTTTTTAAAAATGTACCCCCCCCCAAAAAAAATAGGTCTGACTTACTTGTATTGATCAGAAACTGATTTGACACACCGGGATGATCCACATCATGTATTGCACTGGCGAAAATGGCCGCGAGAATCTCCAAGTCTGTGAACACAGCCTGGGGAGCCAACAGCACAGGGAGCATTACTACGCTATTCCAGGAAGGGACGAGTGGGAGCATTACATAAACAAGTGAGATCAACCCCCACATTCAGAAGGAACACGGGGTGAGGCCTGGCAGCATCTTCCTGTGTTCCATCAAACAGTGGCCCTTTGGGTGAGTTTTAAAAATATGGCGTCCAAGCAAAGCATTTTATACATCATGACAGAAATCTCTCTTGTTCACTATATTTAAAAAAAATATTAGAAAGTCTGAAATGATGCTGGAAAGAAATATGAGCTTCTAAGCAGTTCATTGATACTCTGAGAGTAACATCAACGACACCCACGGAATTATGAAAAGGAATTCCTTTCTTTCATCTTCCTGTCGCCCAAATTACCAGTTCTCAGCCTCAGTGCCATCAATACTGTGGTTAGAACACCGTGCCCGTTATCGGGCTACTTAGGAAATTCCTCATCTTGAGTCAAAGCATGCTAGGGACATGGACAACCAAAACCGTTTCCAGAAATTCCCCCAATGTGCCTGGGTCTAGGGGTGGAGGAGGAGAGCAGGGCAGAAATCATCCGCAGCTGAGAACCACTCAGCCAAATAATGAGGCACAAGCAAAAGTTTACAAGAAGAGTCTACACTACACAGCAAAAGAAAATCTTTCCCTCTGATGATTAGGGAAATTAAATCCCTTTATTAAAGACTTAACGGAATAACTTCTCAGGATTTGGAAAATTTAAAAAGACAGCTCCTTCTAATAAAATTCTTGAAAAGTATTAGCGTGCTGCTTGTGTTTTAAAACTTAACTGTCCTCTGAGCTTCAGCCAGGAAACTGAAGTTCCAGAAAACAACCCAACTAGGAGTCAACAAGCCAGATGTGTGTGCACAGTGACTGCCGGGCCACTTCAAAGACACGGTATTACAAACAGATGGGTCCCCAAATCGTTGACCAATTCTCCCGAACAGAATTCATCAAATGATCTGGGCTTTATTAAGCATGATTTTCTCCCCTTTCTAAGTCAGCCAGTGTATTTCCAGGGAGGTCAGCTCTGGTCTGCACTGACACCCTGCTGACGTGAAAGTGAAAGAGCTCTTTCTAAGTGAGGGCAAGTGACATGTTAGAAAGCAGCCCGACCTCCAGCGCAGGCGTAGACAAGAGCACGTGCGTGGACTGGACGACATCGGCAGCATGGATGTTGTTGTGGTAGGCCACGTCGGCATGGTAATGGTCCTCCAGGGTCATCAGGTACGTAATTAAAGTGTCAACTGGAATTTTAAATGTTTTCAACAAATCCCGTTCCTGTAAGAAAAGAAATCCTCTTAACGTTTTTGTCTTTCTAGTAAAACTCATTTGCCCAAATGCGGTAAAAGAGAATCACAGGCTGGTGTTGCCTACAAACAGCCCCGTACAAACTGTGTTTTCTTACATCTACCAGAGGAAACGGAGATATCTGGGCAGGGCAGAAGTTCTGGCAGTCACCCACCCACTGAGCTGTCCTGCTGAGACCAACAGTCCTGCATCTGGGGGGTACAGTGTCAGGAGTGGGCTGCCAGCCCTATGCTCCCAGTCCCAAAGTACATCCCATGCTCATGTGGTACAAAGGCAAGACCAAGAAACGAATATAGAAACAATGGAGGTCTACTAAAAATATACTCAAACTATTTTCTCTGTGAACCAGCAGGGGCTTGTTTGTCGAGAAAGTAAGTCAGTCTGCATTGTGGAGAGGATTTTCTAACTACTGTCAATACACTGTTTCCATTTCCCATAATCCTTCAATAGAAACAAATACAGTGATGTGTGTTTTACACACATTCCTATTTATTATTATTTGTTCCTTATAAAGGAGCAATAAAACAGAGCCATCAAAGTGGGTCAGGGGATGAGCAGAATGTATAATGCAGGATGCGGAGATTAAAGGCTGGGCAGTCTGGGGAAATAAGGACCCCAATATCTGATCGTTGAGGTGTTATTACTAACAGGTGATTGGACAATGAGGCCACTAGCTTCATTAATGAGTTCTCAGCACAATGGACAACCAGGAAGTGGGGCCCAGTGGAAAGAAGCAAGCCACTGGGTGTATGCCCTTGAAGGGTTCATTTTGTCCCAGGACGATTGTCCCTGCCCTGTCCCTCTCCCTGGATCTGTTAACCTCAGTGGAGCCTCTTTTACTGTAGCACGTTTTCTGCCCTGTCGTCTGCCTTATCACAGCCTCAAGGCCGTGGAGTAACTGACTAGACCTTCAGAAACCGAGCCAGAATTAATCCCGCCTCCTCCTAGAGGGATTTGCTGGGGATGTTGTCAGCAGAAGCAGATGCCATTCCCCTGGTTACCTGAAAGATGGTGTGCATGATAACAGTCAGGGGCCGGTTACCAGACAGCTCTGCTATTCTGAAGACATGGAGACCCCATTTGTTCACATCTTCTAGTTCCTAGGTGAAGAAAACACCCAGAGAAGACAACATTGAGCAGGACGCGACAATAAACAGAAGCACTTAAAAATAGCTGACTTTAATGAGAAACATTGCTAAAGTTAAAAAAAAAGAGAGACTCATTTTAAATGTAAAGGATGTATGTAACATGTAAACACAGTCACATTTAAGGCAAGTTCACTTAAATGAACTGAAAACCAAAACCAAATACTGATTAATCGTGACTCTGATAGTAAATCACATTCATATGCTTTCATTATTGATCTTAAATTTCTTCAATAGTTAAAAGTCAAGCACAGAATCTACCTAGTCTAAAATCCAGAACAGACGACAGATTTCTAATTCTTCAAAAGAGGCCAAAAAATAAAAATAATCAAATCAAAATGCTTAAAAGTAAACAAAGAAGCAAGCAAACAACAATCTAAGACGTATCAATCAACTCACAGATCTAAATCTACATATTAATAAAATCTAATAATTTATACAGCGTGTGAAGTGATTTTTCCAACCTTCAAATCAAGGAGAGATGGGTCAGAGGTTAAAAGCAGTTGTTGCTCTTCCTGAGGACCTGACTTCAGTTCTTGGCACCCAGTTTTATAACTCTTATAACTCCAGGTACAGGGAATCTGATGCCCTCTTTAGGCATTCATTGGCACTGCACTGTGTGCATGTGTGCAACACACACATACATATACACACATACACACACACTTAAAAGGGAACAAAACTGATCTGTTGTTGTTTTGTTTTGTGTTGTTTTGAGACAGGGTCTCACTATGTAGCCCTGGCTGTCCTGGAACTCACTATGTAGACCAGGCTGGCCTTGAACTCACAGAGATTTGCCTGCCTCTGCCTCCTGAGTACTGGGATTAAAAGCATGTACCACTATGCCTGACTCCAAAATAGTTTTAAAGATCATATAAATTAATGAACCTTTCCATCCGTTTAAAAGAAAGAGAATTCATGGAAACAAATCCCATCATGATCTTTGAAATGACTGTACCTTGGCCAGGACATCCTCCTGTTCCGTTTTAACCCCAAACCGTGGGATGCATGAATTAGTCAGGCTGGAGCTATGCATTAACTTCTTGACCCCACTGATCTGAGACATCGGCCTTTTCTTTTTCTCCTTTTCCTTCTGAGTTGGAGAGGGAATTTCCACTTCATGTTGCTTATCTTAAGAAATACAGAGTTTATTATTACTTCAACTTTATTTTTTAATCACACAACGTATAAATGAACAAAGTACAATTGATCACTATATATTCTCAACTTTATTTTTTAATCATACAATGGATAAATGAACAAAGGACAATCGATCACTATATATTCTAGAAAATGATTCCAAACACTAGTTTTAGAGTTGAAGACAAGTTGATATCCTCAAACAGAAAATGGAACAAATCTGACTTTATTTAAAAGACCACTTGACAGACTATCCTTGGAGAAGACTGCAAGATACGACAGCCAACTGAAAGAAAGCAAAGTTCTTGATGTGTTCACCAATCCCATTTCCACTGGAACTTCATTTAGAGGTTTGAAAACAACCTTTCCAACTAAGAACTCCAGTTTCAACATGTGTTTTAAAATGTAGATACTTCATGGCAAAATATATTAAGAACAGCAGCTAAATAATATCATTGAGTCACACCAAGAGAGCTTAAGCTGCACCGCAGAAAGACCTGAGGACTTCTATTTTCCCTCTCTGTGCAATAGGAAGGAAATGTCTACAGTGTAGCCAAGTCTTGAAGGGACCTCAGACAATCCACAACAGTGTTCAACTAGAGGCATACATGCTAACGTCTACAGGAAAAGCTATAGACATACAGTGTCTCAATGCATTCATCTCTGTGAAGGCAATAAGTGGCCTGACCTCATCATTGTACAGTACTGGTTTAACAAACATCTGTACAGGAGTTCTCTGCTTAATACACAATGATTTTGTTTTGAACGTGAATCCTCCTATCAAAGGGGAATTCAAGTGAGTAACTTTCACCTAGTGCCAATTCTTTCTACAGTTAAGGTTCTTCTAACCTGTCTCACAAAGTCGCACTGGGCTAAATCCAAAAGCTTCCCTTAGGAACTGCACCTGGCAGGGGCCATTTCTAATTTATTATTTTTCCAGTGCCCAGCCATGGTGGCCTTTAACAAAAATGTGTTTGATGCAGGAGTGCATAAATATCATGATAAATATTTCATAACTAGTATTATGAACAGACCTTGTTAGGAAGGTGGCTCAGTGTTATACTGATACTGCTTGCCTAGCATGTGTTAGGCTGTGAGCTTGATACCTTGTACTTCAGAAAGGTAGACAGACAGACAGATGAGAAAGAGTATGCCATGTCACCCCAGATTGATTCTGAGGCTCAAACACTTAATGTCTCAACTTATTCACATTATATATAAAAAAGAATTTCTAGCATATACTTGGTTTCCAAAATAAGTCAAACTCTTACTGCCCTCTAAACATAAGCGAGCAAACAAGCCTAAGACCAGTGTTAAATTGCACATGGCTGTTCTCACCTAAGAATGTGTTCGATATGTACTCCGACACCTGGTTCCCTGACCGGCTCATTTCGGAGAGATGGGTGAGCTCCCGATTCAGCATCCTTTTAAACTGGAAGACAATAGGAGGGCCGTGGTAAGAAAAGAGGACATTCTGAGTGTCATGACATAACACGAGACACACGGAAATACAGCCAGAGAATGTTTAAAGAACTGTGACAATTGCTCATCAGTGCTGCTGTCTCCAGTGTTGGAAAGGTAGGCCGCTCTGTGGTTGGACGGTGTCCATTAGGGCACACGGGGGTGTGAAGCCCATGAAACAGGGTCAGAATGAATGAGAATTTGAGTTTTGGACTTCATTTAGCTTTAAATACCTTCAGTTTACATAGTCACAGTTATCTAGGAGCGACCACACAAAATAGTATAGATCATAACACTTAATGGCATTAAGCAATAGATAAAATAATTTTTAAAGTAATGATATCATTATCATCTGCAGAAAAAATATAATTGATGAATACAGATCACAAATTGCATTCTATACTTCTGCTTGTTTCTTTTTTTCTTTTTTTCTTTTTCTTTTTATTGTTTGACTGTTTCTCATGTATACATAGTCAGTTTTAGTTGTTTTTACCCCTAGAGACCTTTCCAACAACCCTCCCCACTTTCATGTCTTCTTTTTTTGTCTGTGACCCACTGAGTTTAACACTGTATTATTTTATCAATTGAGTTATCATTTAACATTTTTAAATACTTTAACATTCAATCGCTATTATATTTTCAATTTTAATAAAGTATCACAGCCCTTAACCATAAAGAAAAACTTAGTAGATTTATCTGAGTGTTCTTCCAGGGATTTGGAGAAACACAACATCTGAGTCAATACTACATGTATAACGTTTGCTTCTGAAGCTGTGTCCATGCAGAAGGTGTAAGAAGTGTTCATTCTCAGAAACCCTAGAATTTACTGATCCACCTCCCAAAGCAGCAAAGCAGGTCAATGTTTGGTCCTCTGTGCCCATTTCCGTCCAGACACACAGCACTCACCCACTATTCAACAGGGAGAGGCCAACTAAAGCTACTCAGAGATGTCACTTGATCCCCCATCAGAATGGCTAAGATTGAAAACCAAACAAAACCAGCAAGCAAACAACAAAAGAACCAGAGAACACACAGGGCAGGGACTGGTGAGGCTGTGGGGAAAGTGGGGGACACTGCTGGTGGGGGTGTGAACTGCTGTAGCCATTATAGAAATTAGTTTGGGGGTTCCTTAAAAAGCCATGAGTCGCTCTGCCACTTGATCAAGCCACACCACTGCTGGGCATTTTCCCAAAGGACTCTGTACCCTACTATAGAGGTACCTGCACATCTGTGTTCTTTGCTGCTCTAGTCACGATGGTCAAGAAATGGAAACAACCTAGCTGTCTATCAATGGGAGGATGGATAATAAAATGTGGTACATTTACACAATAGGATATTATTCAGTATTTCACAAAGTGCAATTATGAAATTATGAAAATTTCAAGTAGCCGGATGGAATTGGAAACGATCATTCTGAGAGAGGCAGCCCAGACCCAGAAAGTCAAGCATCAATGTTTTCACTCATTTATGGATGTTAGCTTTGAGTCTTTATACATGTGTGTTTCATCTGGAATAGTCACAGAGGTCAAGAAATGAATCAGAAACCATATAGACAGAGCTTCTTAAAGTAGAGCCTACCTGTGTGTCTGACAATCACCCACCCAGTTAATATGCCTCAATCGCTTTCAACATCCAGTATCCTAGTTGTCTGTCTTTCCTGTTGTTATTGTGCCAATCTGACACAAGCTGGAGTTATCTGGGAAGAGGAACTTCAATAGAGAAAATTCCTCCAGGGCTGGAGAGATAGCCCAGTGTTTAAGCGCACCAGCTGCTCTTTCAGAGGACCTAGATTCTATTCCTAGCACCCACACTGTGGCTAATAACTGTAACTCCAGTTCCAGGGGATCCAACCTTCTCTTCAGGTCTCCATGACCATGCATGCATGTATGTAGTACACAGACACATATACAGGTATAATGC